CTAAGTGTTTCAGTATAAATTGTATTATGTTTAATACGATATGATATGTTTGTTGTTACATTAGGAAATCTTTTTATTGAAAAGTTAAAATAATCCGTAAGTCCAAGTAAGGACGGTAATGACTTCAGTGTTTTCGCTTCCTGGGTAGCCAATCGGTGCATTGCACATTTCCCTCACACATTGAAATTCGTATTCAGACATTTTACAGATTCTAACTTCTCCATCATAACTGACAGGAAAGTTTGTCGAATGGGGTGTCATCAGTGCCATTCCATCCAAACTTTCCAGCGAGGTTCAGCACCCTCTTTGAGTTTCTAGACAACAACTTTCGTTACACTTTGAAAATTTCGATACTTCCCCATTCTCATTATACTCAGCATTCCAAGCGCACTCATTAAACGACGGGTACCATACGGTAGAGACTGCAGTTAAACCCAATTTCGGGATTTCTGGCGAAATTTGGGTTTTCCCGTCAAATATGCAGCAGTACGCAAGGGCAGACCATGTGCAGAAGTGGCGGGGCGTTTTGATAAGGTTTAGGCGCTAGGAGCCTAGGTTGGAGCATTGGCGCCGCCCCAACCCCATTGAGCCCGCCCACCGTCCTACGTGATCTTCCAAACAACCACCGAACGCTAGATGTTAAGCCGTTGTTTGGAAAGTCGTAGGGGAATATTTAGCGGATTTCAACTGCGAAAATCAACATCAAAGCCTATGTTACGACCATTTTCGAGAACGTTGTCATCATTCTAGTGAGAAGAAAAAATTTTAAGATAGGAAGCAAACAAAAAAGCACAGGAAAAATAGAAAAAATAGGGAAAGTAGAAAAAAATCAGTTTTTGTCATATCTTGGTATTCTCGCCCGCGACCTTTCTGCTTCATGTCTTGTGGTGATTCTGGCCACGGCTTGCTAGCTGTAGTGGTGTTCGTTTTTACCAAGTACACATATCTGCCGTTTCATAGGTGCGTCGATATGAATGCGGCTGCGTATACCCACACTGCCGAACTTGTTAGCCACGACGATTTGACTGGTATTGTCGCTGTTCTAGTCCCCCACGCTGAGGGAGAGAGAAAGTCTTCATATTTTATGTCACTTGTATCATGCTTACCAGTGCGTAAAGCACTCCATCTATCGAGTCCAATCGCTACCGCTTCGATCTTCTGTGGCACAATTGGGGTTTGATCCGGTGGTTTCGCACTGAGTTGCTCGTGTCATGTTGATAAGACTGGCATCAGGCGCAATCATTGGCCATATCACGTCGTGATATATATCTTCCCAGTCAAGCACGCTCTGTGATATTAGTAGCAGTCTTAATATTGGTGCTACGTCTCTCCAGGATTGATCGTTATTCAATATCGTCTGTGCCAAAAAAGTAAGTGAACCTAGGTCACCTATGGTAGGGCCTGCCATTATACTTCCTATGGAGCTTGACGCTCCCTCCACAGATTGCAAGGCGCGGTTCACAAACCCAGTGAATAATGGAGTGACAGGTGGTGGTTCCCTTCGTTCCGTCGCTGAGCTGTTCACTGCTGCCGTTGTGCTTGGGTATCCATAGCATCTGGCGACCGTTGGTCCGGGCATTTGTAGCCCAGTAACCACCAGCTTACTACAAACGTCTGCGACGCTACATGCGTATGCATCTCGGTTCTGCTGAGATATCGTATTTGCGCATCTTAGATAACTCCTCAAGTCGTTTGGCATCACCTTGGACACTTCCGGTAGAAACAGGGACGCACCATACGCCACACCGTTCATCACCTCGAAGTCCAGGATTTCATCGTCTATCTTTTGTTGTTTACCTCCATTTGCCTTCTCACGCAGTTTCACAACGAATTTTTGGTGGCTATTCTCTATTGTTGAACTCGTAACAATGTCACTCACCTTCAATCACGGGTGCGTGGACGAGTGAGTCCGAATCTGGATTGCCAGTCCTCATCGAACAACTGGACACAGGATCCACAGCCCGGTTTAGCGCTTGATGGTAGCCGCTCAGAAGAAGGTGTCCCATTCTCCTGAGCGGCTACCAACAAGCGGTTTTCATTGCCGGTTGATGGCATAACGTTTGATTTGCTGTAGACATGTCCAACACGTAATTTCCCAGCCCTGGTTCGTAAGCGACTAACGAAGAGAATTTCTAATTTTGGAGTTTTTTGGAGGTATTTCCTGCTTTTTTCATTACCTTCGATCAACTTAGCACCCAGCTCTTCCTACTCGAACAGGTGAGTCCCTCGTTTTATCCTGAAGTTTACTTGAATTAAGGGATTGGATGTGACTTGGTAGCGTAAGGTTGCACTAAGAAAGACGTAAAATCTGTTCCTAAACACATCAATATGGAGCGATAGACCTGTGAAGCACCAGATGAAGCACTAGATATGAGCGTGTATCAAAAAACGACCGTCGAGCGCTCTATCCACAGCTGAATGCTCTTCAGTTACTGCAGCTGGTGTGGAAATTTTCGCTGCAACTCAAGACCACGATAATTGTTTAGCAACCAAAATAGAGCCTTCAACTAACAAGAATAGCTATCGAATAGAACAGATTTAAAAAGAACTAAAGGTGTTCCTGTCTTCGACCCACGGTTTAAAACCCTAAACATCCTGAAGTGGACGCTCATTGTTTTTTGGCGGGAAAGAGTGGTCTCGACTCCTTTTGGAGTTCAAAGATAAGTTCCATACATGTGCCTCTGTAAAACTCTTCGTTTCGCATCGACGTCATGTGGAAATATCACATCTTGTAGATATTACACCGTGTCTTCCCCATAGCTCACTCATGTAGCACAATAGTGGCATTGGTACAAGTGTTCTATTGTGGGTTTCGTCCGACAGAACATCCTCGATTTCTTCTGGTACGCGCCATGTGCATGGTACCACACAGAATGATTTGAAAAGTGCCACGTGTACTCGACCAGCTCCGTGCCAACCTCAAACATTCCCATTCTTGCTTATTTGTAGCGGTTCTACAAGCATAGTATGGATTCATCATATCCTCATTCACGATGTATTTTTCTAAACTCCATTTTTGAGAATGATGTGCTCAGCCAACAATGAGTGATGGTGTCAAAAGGGCTGTGGGCATTCATGTATTGGACTTCCGTAATAACATCGTGCTCGTCTAAAATATTGTGGTACACTGTTTTTGAGCTGCTAGAAAGCAACTGTCGCCTAGCATGGCATAATTACAATGCGTCAGGGGCATGAATACCGTCCAAAACGACTCTTTAGTCCCAAAATGTGAATAAATATTTAAAGTTGGATATAAGAGCCAACATTCGACTCAATATCCGTTTCACAGATCCTAGTACTTCCTGCTGGACATATTTCCTATGCATTCGTACTGATCAGGAAGACGAGGAGTTAATGAACTTTCTTCATTTGAACATCGATTTCGGATAGTTTAGCATAACCATTTGAATACTTCACGCAACCAGAAAAAAACGTCTTCAAAAGTAATGAGTGACAGCGACACCATTGTGTCCGCTGCTGACCGCCTTCACGGCTCCTCCCTCATAATGAAGCGGACATGTCCCTGCCAAAAATTGTGTCGACCGTTTGCACGCTGTTAAGGCCTAATGTTGAGCGTTGCCTTGGTCACAATTTGATATGCCGCATAGCTTGTGATGGTTTGAGCTGTTAGCATCGAGGGCTTCGAGTTTGAGCCGAGGGAGTCAAGAACCAAGAGGCCGATTCGCGACACCGTCGCATCGAAGCTTAAAAAAATTGTTCGAAGTGTAGATTATCGGAATCTCATGACGACTTGGTATGACGAGCAAGTGCTCGTTTCCAATTCTGCAGAAAAGAAAAACGCTCAAGATCAAATCTGCTCTCGAAACATAAGCAGAGGAATGGTACCGCAAAGCTTGCATTACTTCCAAACAGTCTAAATGACGTTTCATGACTGCGCCATTCTATTATATTTCGCCACACTTGAACACTCAGCTTTCAGCGCTAGCACCAGAGTGTGATAGAAGAGATATATAACACTCCTTCTTATAAATGATTTCGATGGCCACCTAACCTGCAACCCGCAATCGAACACTCCGCTTGGCGTGGTAGCGTACTGCACCAAATGACTGCGCGCACTAGCCGTCGTCATATATCGAATGTTTAAGAATGAACAAAAGTTTTTAATTATGATAAATACGGTATACTCACAACAAATACAGAAAACAATTGTGCACTTACAACTGCAATGTATACTATTTTGAGAAGAAGAGCCTTAACGGGAACGAATCTACCGGATGTTCTGACAATTATGGCATTTAAGTAGTTCACGGAAGGCAATATCGATATTCAAACAATAAAAGCAATGGAAATTCAATGTATGTATATAATGCGACATAAATAAATTTCTAAAGTGAGATTAGGTACGAGTCGAATACAAAAAAAACCTGCACTCATTCCTACCAGTTGTTCAATCACTATGATAGGAGCAATAAGCGATTAAGAAAGCTAGGTGTTGATTTACTGATTGTGAGTCATGCATGATTACGTGACAATTCAAAGGATGTCGCCGATATCGCGTTGACTGTTATGTGCGTCCGCAGTTGAGGCTTGCAACGAGACCGGTAAGTTCAGATATTTTCAATTCTGATTCGCGAAGATCGTCTGAGAGCGTCCGAATTTTCCGTTTCAATGGTTCCTTGAAATAATTAATATTAGCGGGTATCTCCTTACAAAAAACTCATTTTGTTATGATTATTCGTACTAGTATATCTCGATAAAAGATTACGATTGCAGCCGCAGCCATCAAAATCTCGATCTAGAACCTAAAATGGAGGCCAGTTGTAGTGAAAGCTGTACGGTCACTCGATGCACCATCAGCCAATACAGTGCTCGGTTCTGACTAGGAACGTCGTCCAAGGAACAAAAGGTTCTTGTACTTTTATAGGGGCGCTAGCGAGAGACATGGAACTAATAATAATTTTCTATGAGCGTCGATGGGATTCGCCGGACGAAGGAAGGAAACTTCTCTTAGGGAGTGGAACATCTTAGTTCCAATATACTCTGAAGCATTGTAAGGTCAAGTAGTTGCGTATTAGGTTTTGTCCAGTGGACAAGTTACGACGTATGTATAATATGAGCACAAGAAAGTGAAAATCAGAGAAATGCAAAAATTTGTGCCAGTGGGGATCGAACCATTGGCCGCTGTTTTCACATATTTTTTTAGCATTTTCAAAGTCGCTCGAAAGATTCCCTAGTAGATTCTAGAAACTTCTTTAGACAGAAGCCCTCATCTCCCAATTTATGTCTTCAAGTAATTACTATTACTTTGTAATAAAAGAAGCAATAAAGAGTAGTAAAAAAAGAGGTTCTGAAAGAGAAACGTTATGCAGCAATCAATATGCAGGTGGGAGGGTCAGAAAATACGAAAAACGAATACCGCTAACATCTGACTAGAAACGAAACGACGGCGGAGTGGGTTTCGTAGATCTGACCTGGATTTTCAGTTCGGCCATCTCCAACGCCCTCTTCAGCTCGTCTCTCGAATTTTGCAATTCAGCAGCTCTGAAACAGTTGACAAATGAATACGTGGTTTGCAAAAGGAAAGCGGCTTCTCATTCCAGTCCCATTCCGTCACCTTCCTATTTGTTTCACGCATGTTACCCGGGGTAGAGATGAAATGCCGCATTCATATGGGCCACCGTCCGATTTTCCTAGAAATTGACCCGTTTTGACCCTTTTTTCATGCCATCTATACGATCGCCGCGAAATAGTAACACAGCGAAAGGTCCAGAGCACAATCCCAAAGGGTGAGAAAAGATCTTAGTAATTTCCGCCTGTAGAATATTCTATGAAGTCAGCGATCAAGTGCTCAATGCTCCTGCAAGATACAGCAGAATGACAGAAATCCACAGCTTCCATCGTCAAGTAGACGCAATCCTGACCTTCAAAAGCCGTGTACGTCCAGAAATTGCCGTGCTTCCTGCTTCGGCCTCCTAGTGACCAGTCACGATAGTCAGGACCCCCACCTTAACTTCCTGCCACGGCTGCAAAATGGTCAATAATTATGTTGCTGATGCTTCGAGCGACACAACGATAGCCACTAAAAATATTATTGCCTTCAAACATGAATCAACTTTGAAGATAATCAACTACACAGAGACATTAGCACATTCGCTGTATCGTCAGCGAAATTTCCGAAAAATGGGGAAGGTTTCATATACAAAAATTACCCTCGGACACCGTTCGACATGATATGGGAATTGTTAGACTAGCACGGAGTTAAAGAACATAACTATGCGTAAAGGCTATAATACAGATAGACAATCTCCACTGGCTCTAGGAAATCATAGTACAAAAGCACAAAAAAGAGTAATATCTGAATGAAGTCAAGTGGTCACCAGCTCGAATGAGATATAATGTCTCAACTTGCGATTTACTCTGTCCTACCTAACGCCATGATGCTCGGGTGTCTTATAAACCGTCCTAGTAGTTAGGCTACTACCTCGCTAGCAAAAATAACAAATAATGTAGCAAGACAATTGAAATATTAGATTGCTGTTCATCATAAAAAATGCACAGCCGTAGCTCGGTAGGGAGGGGGGTGCGGAATCTACTCCCTTACTGCGAAATCAATCACAAGCTGAACCCAGAATAATTCCTGAGATGGACTGAATAGATATTCAATCTAGACGCAAAAAGCAACCAGTATCTTCCTGGCCAGAACATTTATAACAACCGATGGTCTCATATTTATTTTTACGATCACAATCCTTAAAGTCAAATCATAAGACTTCCTTGTATTCAAAAATGCTGGGTTAAACAACTTCGCACATCCCAGCCGACCCAAGACCCCACCTCTGCTTCCGGGGTGCGTCCGGAGTAGCGTCCCTTATATATTGGATAAAATGTGCCCCTGTCGGCAACTTTTAGCGCACTACGCGAAAGATCACGAGGGCGGTCGAGCTCAGTCTGGCGAAAGTTTTGTTCACAACCCTGAGCATTCTTTGTAAATTCGAAGCGACCTTGCGGCCAAAAGCAGCACTTAACCGAAACATTACTTGGGTGCTTTAAAGCAACGCAGGGAAAGAATCGAAGCAAATAATCAGGCTTATCTTATGACGAAATACGCCGGGTTGTAGCGGGCCACAATCACCTCTAAGCCGAAGGTGCGTATTCGATCCTTCCGGCGAAGAAATTTCTGGGAGCGTTCCTGCGAGAGCTCTCACATGGCGAAATGCGGTCAAAAAACAGTCAAAAAAATATGACCATAGGTATGAATGAAAGTTTTGCAGCACATAGATGGGCTTCAAAGAAGAGCACAAAATGAGAGGTCCTTGATCTTCAACAGAACGCTTCATTCTGCGTCCGATTCGTAGAACTCCAAGTACTTTAAGTAGACTTTTGGTTACTGTACGTATGGTTACCCAATTCTATAGGTTGGAGTGCTCCTAAGTTCGCTTTCTCAAACTTGCGACCTACTGCTTACCCAAAGTGCATGAGCGAGAACTTAGGCGAGCAATTCCAAATACAGGTGTCGGACCTTGCGAACAACCGCTAGCGAGTCGCGCGATTCACAGACGATTTGAGTGCCACAAGCTATTCGCCAGCGATCGCAGGAATTGGTGGCGCATCATGGAGTCGCTGGTGCATTCATATTTTTCGAATCGCTGGCGATTGATCGCAAAGTCTGGCACCTGTTAAGGCGGTAATCGCACATGTTGATATGAACACCCAAATACTGTACCTATAAGAAGGTAAATGCCTTTCCCGGAGAAGATTGTTCACCCACTCGTGACCTCCCCCAGATATTCCTTCGCCACACTGCCTCCCTGCGAACACGCTTGGATGCTGTGAATAAGCACATAGGTTTGATTATGTGTTAATGCAGTCATATATTAGTAATAATATATCTTTGTTATATACACACGTATGTTATATGTCAAATATCCCTTATATCACAAAGGGGCAATTTGTAAATATTGTACCAATTTTCTATTGCATATAGCATGATCTTTTTGTTCTGAGAGGCTACTAGAATAAAGAATATGTTGAAAGGGGATCGTTTGACCTGCGCGAATTCTCGGTGGCATCTCGAGTGACCGTCGCTAGAACATCTTGTAGATCAACCAGCTGCTTTTTCATTTGTGCACATTCCGTCTCGATTTCTCTATGCTGAAATTTGAAGGGTTTCATAAAAGTGAAGGACAGACTCAAAATGTGAACTAGAAATGGTCTCTAGCGGCATGAGCGATGGGCCAAATAGTTTGGAATAAATTCGAGTCAAATCGAGTGTTTTTGAGGCTCGTTGCAAGAACGAAGAGCTGTCCATCAGCCTTGACCAGGTCTGCTGCCTCCAAGATTGCGGGCAAGCGACCCAAGTCGTAAGCCTAAGCTCAACCCTTGCTCTTTCAGCTCCAAGGACGGCTAAGTACGACCGAAAACCCTGCGCTTCAATGCATAGAGATTTTAACCACTGCACGCTCAAACAGGTGCTGACCACGAGCTCATTGGACCAAGACCAGATAAACTTGGGCACGCTGTGATGCCATTTACAAGCAACAACGAAGCAGATTTTCGTAGCACTAGTGAATTAATACTTACCGCTTCATCCCACTCCAATTTCTCCTTTTCTAACTTCTTTTTCCATTCCTCATTCAGGTT